AGACTGAGACGACCGCCAAATACGTTCCTGGGGGTCTCCGTGTCCACACGGGTTTCGATTACTGAAAGTAGAGAATAGGGCGTTGTTAGGGGTTTGGCCGATTTCAATAATTCGATTGACCTAATTGTGAAAAATCCGCGGTTTCGGTGGGATTCGAACCCACACAGCAGGGGAGGCCTCTGCGCAACCAACGCTTTACCATTTTAGCTATGAGGCTCGCCGTGCGCCGTGCGCCGTAAATTTAGTCACGCTTGGGTAGATTTGTTTGCCCAGCTTTACTGCACGTCTGGGATCCACCAATTCGGACACGGTAAGCTGACTGCCAGGCAGGATTTCCTAAGAGGTCATCAAGCATCCATCGGATGGACTACTAGGCTAACCTTGGATGCTGGGGGTTTGGCAGATTTCAATAATTCGATCGACCCAATTGTGGAAAATTCTCGGCCTCGGTGGGAGTCGAACCCACACAGCAGGGAAGGCTTCTACACAGCCAAAGCTCTACCATTTGAGCTACGAGGCTCGCCGCCAGCCCTGAATCTAATCACGTTGTGCTTAGCTCTAATTCAGTTATTTGAAATGGTTTTTGGCTCACGTTAGAATGGTCGCCGACGATTAATCCTTTACATCGCAGGGTATCGCACATCTTCCTCTGAAAATGCCAACTTACGCACCCCTGACAGACCGATATCTGGAACTGATTTTTAATGATAATGTTTTCTTTCCTTCACTTTTCCCAAAGGACGCCTTTCCTTAAAGTTGCAGATATATTTTTCCATGTTCTCTTAAACTGCCCCTAGGTGTGCGCCATACCTGACTTGGATTCCACGCAGAGGGACTGTCAAAGAGGCCACGTGCAGAAGAATTCATGACAGCCTGACTCTCCGTCCGCCAGTCGGTCATTCAACAAGAACACACACACACACTGTGCTGACTGCAAACTCCGGGTTATCCCCTTAGTTGACAATGTTCCAAGTCACGGCTTTAACACACTCTGATTACTTCATTTAATGACGAATTTCCCGAAGTGCAGGCGATTTCGCTAGGAAGAGGCTCTGACATTTCGGGGTCCCTGGCTGAAGTGGTAGCGGCCCTACTGCTAGTTAACACCAAGATGCGGATACGGTATGTCGATGACGCATTTTTCGTAAACAGGGACCAGCTGGAAACACAGCACATCACTATTAACTGAATGATGTCAGGAATCACCCTTACGCTCAAAAAGAGGTTGACAGTAAATCCTCATTTCTTGACGTCCTCGAATAAGTGGAAGACTGGCGAAAAATTTCAAACATCAGTTTACGGAAAAAAGCATATGCGGATGTTATCCTACATTACAAGAGCAACCACCCTATCGTTCATAGGCTGATGATTGTTAACACACTAATCAATCGAGCAGGAATACACTGCCCTAGCACCGAACTTAATGAAATGGAACTTACTAACTTTTTCAAACTCTTTTCCTAAAATAGTTACCCTAGGGGTTTTGTGCGTATATGTATGAGACGATGGGAGTTAAAATAAAAGGAAAATGAACTATAGCGTCCCAATAAGGCACCCAAATCAAAAAAGCTGGCGAACACTTCCATGTATTAAGTACGTAGCTGAACTCGTTGGAAGACGTCTGAGGAGGCACCAAATTCAAGTGGAGCACAAACCAGCGACTACACTGATAAATCAGCTTGTCCACCCTAGGGATAAGTTTGGCTAGTTGGACAGAAATAAAGTCATTTACATGATGCCCTGTGGCAGTTACAATGCAGGTTACTGTGGTAAAACAGAAAAATCGGCCTCTTAACGTTTACGCGAACGCCAATAGAAAGTTAAGACGCGTGACCACTTGTCCCAAGTTGCCATGTATACACTAGAAACTGGGCTGAAATTTGCATAGGACCAAACATGCACTGTTGGTTTCTGCCCGTCTAAGGAAGGTCGCTAATTTTTAGAGACCATTAACGCATTAATTAGCGCATCGAATTGAATGCCATGTACAAAGATCCCAAAGAAATATGGAAAAGACGATAGCCAATTCGAACTAGGTGCCAACAACAGAGGCAGCTACTGGCCAAAATGACCCTGCATTGTTAATTTTTTGTAACTATTCTGTACACTCGCTACACTTCTAACAATGATCTGGAGGACTAGTGTCGAAAAGTTACAATAAAGTTTTTATCTTTTCCAAAAGAACCTCCTCGGATTATACTTCTTGGTACGCCCATTTCCTGAAGCACCCATTTGGATATGAGTCAGACGTTACAACTAATGAAAAGCTACTGAATTTATACTATACTTCAGTTTTATCTAAGTATCCGCGTGTCCCTTATTTAAATAGTATAATTTAACCTGTTTTTCAATTGTCATAATGAGTGGTTTCTAGTTAACTAAATGGTTATTTTCATGTGCCATCACTACATGCAGAAGAAATATTTTATACATTAATATCGTTCGTGTATTACAGAAGTCTGGGTTTATATGATATTAAGGTGATACTTATAACCTACGCTTATCCAACTAAGGAAACACGTACTAGAAATTTAAAAAAACACTGTCTGCAGAAATCAGCGATACATATTTAGATATGTTTGCGTATAAAATCCACGATAATGTGAGATCGCAAAACTCGAAGCGCGACCTAGTCAAGGATTACGGTAAAGCCTATTCTGTGACACAGATAGGCTAAATATGTAACATCGGCGGTACCGGTGTCAAAAGCGCAATAATAAAGAAAAACGAAATATTACCTTGCATCTTTCTAGCCCCGCGCCCTCGCTTCGAATGGCTACCGGCGAGGTTTCTGCCCTGCTTTAGTGCTTGCTCAAGGCGTACTTGGCCTCATTGATTTTTTGAATCACGAAATGACGAGATTATCGATTTTTTTGCTTTCCCACAGAGCGCACGATTCCGAGGCCACTACGTCGCAGAGGCTGGTCGCAGCGTTCGCGCTTAGAAGCCAAGGTCGTTCTCCTACCGTGTCATGAGTGTCATCCCCTCTCCGCATATTCTGTAGTTCGATGACAAGGCATTCATGCTGGTAAATCTGGTCTTGAAAATATCACGTAAGTGAACTCGAAACAAGGGCTTTTTGTGCATACAGTGAGTGCTAGAGCTTTTGCCAATGTGAAAGAAGGACGAACTCAACCTTACTACTGTCGCGTAAGAAAAGCGAGTAGTACACGACGGACTGTACCCAAGTTATTTCTCAATTAAAGGTCAAAGTTTAGTGGCCAATCCTTTTTCCGGTTACTTGTTAGAGGCAAATTGATGTTAGCTCTCACCGTAGTCTCCGTTTGTAATACTTGGATACTCAAAAAGTTCGCCATGGGGTCGAATGTATCGGCAGTGGCTTGTACAACGAATTTTCGCAAAAGGTTTGAGAAAGATTAGGACAACTATTTTGAGTTGCGCTTGTCCTTCTAATGCTTTCCCCTGCCCAAATTACCTAAAATGACTCATTTTTAGAATATTTCAATGCATTCGGAAAATTATAAAGAATCGAAGCAGTAGCGTTCATCGGCATTCGGCGTTTAAAACATGATGTTCGCGTACTTACCTAACTCCTCAAGAGCAGATCTGAAGCCAAAATGACTGTCTCGAAGACCTTGTAACTCAGGCTCTGTTCAGGGAGCACCGGTCTCTGATGGTAGGCCTAAGGACTTTAAGTCTGAAGCGCCACAGCTAGATTTTGCGGGCAGATCTATTGATTTTTGTGATCTCGTTTTTGCAAGCTTCTCTTTTTTTTGTTTACTCACAGTACATGAAACTTAAAGTGAACACTGACAGCGATACGCACCGCGGTAGGGGAGTTTGTAACGGGGCTTGTGCGCTGGACTTGTCGTACTCTGATGTGGGACAATTCGATGTGCTGTCTGAAACGTTAGACTGTGATCTGCCTAAAACATGTTAAATCCGCGTACGCACAAGCCAGGAGGTTAAAGTCAGCCAGAGGTATCTATTTCGTTAAAGCACTTGGAAACTGCGTGATATACACATCGTAAAATATGCTAGGATTGTCATTTTTATCGAGTTCTTGATCAGATTAGATTTCCTAGGACGAGGCACCAGGAGCACAGTCCTTCATATTCTCAACATAAAAGCATGAATTTTGAAGCATTGAGTCCAAAAGCATGAAATGAAGCATATTTTCAATTTTTGCAACTTCTTACTCCACGTCGGTATTCTAGTTTGACATATTTTGCATGTTTGCATGACGTCATTAAATCCTGGTAGTCTTGTGGTCCTGACCTTGTTAAAATTTCTTCCTGGAAAACAGGGTTTCAATGTTTTGTTTTTGCTAGAAAACTGTCGCGCATATTTTCTATTTCTAAATCATTTTCACATGAGCAAGTATTAAAAATATTTTTTACTACTGTTTAAGGGCGGAAAAGTAAGGACTTCGTAGGATTATGAAATATTAGTTCTTAGGCGGAAATACAGCGTGCCAAATAGTTCGGCATATGAACCCATTACCTCTCGGTGATCTCATATGAGATCACTTAAAAATTAAGAGCTCTCGTATTTATCTGTCTGTATATACGCATATTTAAACTTCATGCTATATCTATTAGGTATATTTCTCTGATATCCACATGAGATTTTTAAAAAATTTGGCTCTAAATTAATTTATATACAAGTTTGAAAAACCATAGGTATCCAAGATTCATAACAAAAATCAAAGTGGTCAAAATTATGGGAGGTAATGGGTTAACGGTGTATTCTGCCCTAATATGACTACACATCAGACCGTATCAAATTAGGTTGTGGCATTTTTCTGGGAAACTTTGCCTCACGAAAGAGTCGCATGGTTGAGCACGATCAAAGGTGGATAAGGACGAACTGAAATTCACC